TGATCCCTAATTAGGGTTTTGGGTTTAGGGGTTAAGGTTTAGGATTCGGGGTTTAGGGTTTAAAGGCCGGGTTGAGGGAATTATATTTAGGCTTTGGGGTTCAGGGGTATTATAGGCCGGGTTAATAACCGATATAAAATTGTCTAATAACCCGAAGCGCCTAAACGGATAATCGAGTTCGTCAGGGAAGTATCCTAAATTTAATCCTCAACGCGAAGCGCCTACACCCTAAAGCTTATAACCCAATCAAGCAAGATCTGGGTGCAATGCCGAGGTTGCAAGGCCTTTGGAGTGGCAGCATGCAGCGCTGGGCGAGGTGCTGCTCTTCCTGAGACAGGAGGAGCAGGCGGGACGGTTTAGGCCGCTAAGCAGCCTCTAGGCACCTTTTAATTAATTAGCGGCATCGTGTGCAGACACGAAGCCACTGAGCACATGCAGATGCCAATCGAAGATGAAACATAATGGGCTTGGGGTCCGTGCTTTGGGGTTATATGTGCAAGCATCCACACTCTCCGAAATCCTTCATGTGGCTAAGTTGTGTGGGGCAGGGTTATTATACCTGTAGGGCCAATATATGCATAGGACTCCCAGGGTAGCTCGAACCTAGGTCATAGCATATGTAGATTGCAAGGTCGGGCCTCTAGGATACATCGTATTTTTGGGTGTTTCCCTGATATTCCTAGGGAAATAGGGACCGTGACTCTAGCGTGATTTTGGCGTGATGTTGGCGTGATTTCCCGGGGCCCTTTCTTATAGATCTATTACCTGGTCTATAGCCACCCCCATATAAGCGTGATGCTAGCGTGATTCTGGCGTGTCCTGCCAGGGGCCCCGTAATCTATGATCTGGGGACACGATCTGGGATCGACTGCAGGGCTCTATCCATATGATCGAGTGCAGGGTTCTATGCTGTCATGGAGCACGGCATAATTCTATGCTGTCATGGAGCACGGCATGATCGATGATCGATTGCAGGGTTCTATGCCCTATGCCGCAAGGATCGAATAAGTACTTGATGATCATGATGCAACTCGATTGAACCCTCCTGGGGGTCCGGGTGATCTAGACCTGTGATCTTCGAGGTAATATACTCCATCCCTTGCTATTGGCCCGGCCTTGGGATTATAGATCAAGAGCCACTAGATTATATTATAATATATAGGGTTTAAGGTTTAGGGGTGGGGGGGGGGTTAAGGGCTTATGGGGTACATGATACTATAGTTCTATAAAGTCCCGAAATAGTCTCCAGATTGTGGGTAAAACCAGGGTGTGGCTTCTGCTTCAAATAGGACTGGCCTTTGTGATCACATGTGGTCTTGTGTGCATGCTGAAGTGTGCAAATCCATGGGGAGGTTTTCCTTCAAGGATGCTGCTAGCTGGTCCTAGCCTGCATGCATGCCTGGATNNATATCAGATCTTGGTGACTTTCGCCACTTGGGCTTTACATGCACACCCTACACAATACAATCGATAACCCTCGCAAGCATATCATGGTGTCCGCAGCGGTCGAAGCAGCCCTTGCACGTGCAGCCAAGCTGCGGGCGAGTGTAGACACCGGCAGCACAGCAAGTTCCTGGGCGCATCGTGTAATCAGCATTCCCAGTCAAGACAGTCCATGATCAAGCTAGGAAGCCGAAACCTCAAAATAACTATTCCTCATCCCAGGAGAAGAAAAAAGCAGCCCGAAAAGGAGAAGCCGATCCTCGCCATCGAAGCTTAGCTCAGCCCCTTCTTCGGCAAGCTTTGAAAGCCCGGCTGCAAGAGTGAAGACAGAGATAGCAGCTGTGAAGCACGAGAAGACAGCTACCGTGAAGAAGCGCCGAAGACACAAGAGTTGCCCCAGTGCAAAGAAGTGCCCCGAAGCTAGGCAGCCTCATCAGCATCCTTTTTTCACTCTACGTACAGGTATGGGTTTCGAGGTTCGGGGTTTAGGGTTTCAGTATATTGCATATGGCACATACCTGCTGCTCAGGCTGTGGACCCGTCTCTGCAGGAGACGCAGCCTGCTGAGGATGAGGAGGCTCTCCGATCAATCACCAAAACAACCCATGAACCAGGAATTAAGGATCGGGAGTTTAGGGCCTGTAGGGTCTAGGGTTTAGTTAGGGCTTCTGGGATTTAGGGCTTAAGGTTCAGGGGTTTAGGGGCTTAGGCTTAGCAATCTGGTTTCACACTCGGAGTGCATA